TATATATATATATATATATATATATATATATATATATATGAAAAAATGATGTGGGCACTTAAATGAAAAGTCTTGATGAGTGTAACATCGAGATGAGATTATATCTTTAAAAATGTCAATAGTTCACAAGATAAAAGGTCATTTCTTAATTATGTATCTAGAAATAGAGCATTTTCGAATGCAGCCTAAGCACTTATCATCATAAATTGACTATTGGTGAGAATAATATGAAACCGTGAAAAGGCACAACTCCAGGTCAAAACTTTTTCAACGATACCAAATGTAACCATAAAAATTTTATTTAACTCCGGCATATAGCATAATATAAAAAAAAAATATACTTTAAATATTTATTTCTACATGTTTATTTTATAATCTAATATCGTAAAAGCCTGAAACTAAACAATCAAATTATATTAATTAATGAAAAATTTTCAGAAAATACATTAACACGTTTGATGGTGTAAAATTTAAGATTAACACCGTTCAAATTTAACATGACACTTAGTGCGATTTTCACACCGTCTGTGTTAAAAATTTTTACACCGAATTATTTACACCACACCGAGTCAAAAAAAATTTTCACAGTGTATGTTCACGTAAATTTTTTGTTTTTATATTTAGAGATGTCACAAGAATAATTATGCTGAAAACATGAAATATTCTGAAGAAAAAAGAAAGGGCTCAGACACTAGCAAAAAGATTGATCGTAAGCGCTGGTCATGTGTTGTTAATCAGGAACAATTTGAGACTAATAGTAGTTAAGCAAGGCCGGTTTGGCTATCCGATAAAGCAGCTTTCTGCCGTATCGACCTTGAGTTTCTGTCCTATCGACGGTCGTTGGTGGAGTTTCTGCGATATCGATGGTTGATTTTTGTGTTCTTTTTTACTGACTGTTGTTGGAGATTATCATCGGTTTGTTGGTCAATTTTTTACCGACTGTTGGAGGGATTATCATCGATTTGTTGATTGATTTCGTTGAGGTCAAAATGCTACCACCCCAACAGCAGAGCTGATACCTTTGCCGTGTATCAGCTTTGGTGTTGATGTGATATGCACTTATTTGATGTGATGATGAATTTTATATATATTCAAATGACTTGTGGTATAAGTATATGCGAGAAAGATCGATACTTACGCCGCTCTGGTGGGATTAAATGGAGGTATTGAAGTTTATTGATCGATTTGAGGTTAGTTTGATGTCAATTGGTGGTCTATGTTATCGACAGTCGGTTTGATACCGAATAGATGTTCTGTTTTATCGACATGGGGTAAGAGTTTTTTCTGAATTTTAACGTTTTTTAGCCTCTTTCTCTCGATTACATCATGTTTTTTACGTCATCTGATAAGTTTGAACCTGTTTTTTCGCGTCGTCATCGTGAATTTTAACGGTTTTTTAACCCCACCTCTCTCGATTACGTCATGTTTTTACGTCATCTGACAAGTTTAAACCTGTTTTTGGCGTTGTCATCGTCGTTGGGAGGGGATCGTTGGTGGGGAGTTATACTTACTTGTTTCCAAATTTCAGTCTTCTGCCTGCAGTTACTTCAATCAGTCGTTCAGTTTAAAAAAATTGTGTCTTTTGTTCAAATATTTAAAATTGTGTACTCTACGGAAAATCAAGTAAGTCATTTATTTTATTATTCTATTTTATAACTAATTTCTATAATTATTAACTATTATCTATCAATTTCTTAGCTTAAAAATTCTAAAATTAATTTTTTTTTATCTAGCTTGCTTGATACCATGGCGGAAATTTTAGACATAAAAAAATCGATTATTTTTGATGAATCTATTGCACACTGTGAAGCGCATTCACACATGCCATACGCATCATCAACATTCAACAACAGTGATGAAATCAGGATTGCTGTTCAGCATCAAGATCTGTGCTTGCTCCCAAGCAAGAGTACATTACATTTTTATGGAAGAATGAGTAAAGATGATGGTACTGCTGTAAGTGCTACTACAAAGATGGTCAACATGGCTGTCTGTCATATGTTTAGAGAGATACGTTATAATCTCAATGATGTAGAAATTGACAGATGTAAGAATGCAGGCATCACCAGTGTTATGAAAGGATATGCTTCTCTGAATCCAGGA